AAAGAAACCTTAGCTTCCATGGCTTCCTCCAGCAGCAACAAGCACAACGCCGACTTGAATGCTGTAGGGGAACACCCTCAGCCCGCCACTGTATGCATCGGACAGTTCACCGTCCCCCTCTTGACGAACGGAATCCCTAGCCTCAATGCACCAAGCATGGTGGTGCCTGTGAATGTTCCCCTTCCCTTCCCTATCGAGACAACCTTCGCCGAACCAACTGCTGTCCCTCTGGCGACTAGCCAAAACCAGTTTGATGACTGCAGTGCATGCTGGTGATGCAAGCCCAAATGCAACAGTTCCAGCAACATCAGCTCCATCAGCAGCAAGTACTGCACCACATTTCTCAGTATCACTATCAACAGCAGTTCCCCCAACTGCCTCTGAACCAACCATAGCTTCCACCTCGGCACCCCGCTCCGAAGCCGGTCAAGCCCTCCCCTCAGGGCGGGCGTCTTCATCGAGGAGAAGCCTCCCAACTTCAGAACCCCTTCAAGAGTTAGGCCTCATCCCCGGGCAGGAGGGAAAGACTAATCACCCCCGCCTCGCAGCTTGCCGGCGGATCGGGAACCTCCTTGCCAGTCAAGTCAGCACCTCGGCACTCCAAGTTCGAGCTCCCGCTCACAGAGAACCGATTCGGCGTCCTGGCAGCGGACTACCGACACTCCGGGCCGATCGATCTCGGCAACACCGAGGCAAGTAGTGCCAATCCCAGGCCCTCTAAGCAGCAGCAAAGACGCCAGTGAAGTCGCCAAACTACCACCTACGTCCAGCCCGAGCTCCGAGGTAAGGAAGAAACAAGCTCGGACGAGGTAAAAGTTGCCCCTATTCTTTCAGTCCCTTCCCCCCTGTCATCAGAACTCCTTGCAGTCCCCATGCCCAAGGATTTCAAACTCCCTCCTCTAGACAAGTATGATGGGTCTTTTGACCCCAATGACCATGTTGATGCTTTCCAGTCCCAAATGCACCTGGCAAGGGCCAGTGAGTCTTGCATGTGTGTGGCGTTCACTACAACCTTCAGGGGAGTAGTCCGCACCTGGTACAGGAACCTGGCCCCCGGGTCGATAAGAAGCTGGACCCAGTTCGTGCAGGTCTTCACCGCGCACTTTGTTACCAGCAAGCGGTGGCCCCGCACCGAAGAGAGTCCTTAGAATAGTCCAGAGGGAAGGAGAGTCCATCCGGGGCTATATCAAGAGGTTCAATGACGCGTGTTTACAGATACCGCGCCTATACCCCGCGGTGCAGCTCGCGGCAGCCAAGAGAGGAGAGTGACACACAAGGAGTTCTAGTGGCACATGGTAGTTAACCAGCCCGCAACCGTGGCTGAATTCCTCAAGCTCGCGGACAAATTCATAAGAACAGAGGAGGAGATCAACCAAAAGACTGAAGGTGGAATCGAAAAAAGAAAGAGAGAAGGCAAGCCCTCCAACTCAGATGACAGGAGAAAGAGAGACCCAGCTCGGGGGCCGAAGCCAAGCCAGCCGTTCCGAGCTCCCTTAGCAGGTCGGGCGGACTACACGCCGTTAAACGCGAAGCGGGCCGAGATTTTAATGACGATCAAAGACACCCGAACGAGAGGAATAAAAACTTGTACTGCAGCTTCCATAGGGACCACGGTCATAGCACCGAGCATTGTAATAATCTCCGCGACGAGATAGAGGAACTTATCCGTCGCGGGTACCTACGAAATTTTGTACAACATAATAATAATAATAGTAATAAGACAGGTCGGCAAGGAGAGCGCAAYAGAGACATTCTCGAGTCCAGCAGCCGGCCAGCAGAACCGCTGAAGCAGCCCCCAGAGGAAAGACCAGTTCGGGGAACAATCCACGTGATCGTCAGAGGATCAATCGTAGTAGGTTGCACCTCGGCAGCAGCTCGGGCATCAACCCGGGAGGCCGCCAGAGAAGAACAAAACCCCCCAAAGCGGCCTAGGACGGAAGACCCCATATTCTTCACCGAAGATGATGCGCGCGGGGTCCACTACCCCCACGACGACACACTTGTCATAAAGATGAAGATCGACTTCGAAGTCCGGCGGGTACTCATTGACTCTGGCAGTTCGACAGACATCCTTTTTAAAGCGGCCTTCGACAAGCTCCAGTTCCGAGAGAGTGACTTGAAGCCCGCGAACACCCCGCTGGTCGGCTTCAGCGGAGAAGAGGTCAGATCCCTGGGAAAGGTCACAGTACCTGTGGAAGTCGGCATGTGGCCTAGCACGGTAAGACTCAGTCACGATTTCTTGGTGGTCGCGACCCTCTCCCCCAACAATGCCATAGTAGGTCGGCCGATCACCCACGCTTTAAAAGCCGTGGTGTCCACTTACTATTTGGCCATGAAGTTCCCAACGGACTTCGGCATCGGGGTAGTGCGGGGCGACCAGCTCGAGTCCCGTAAGTGCTACGTTGCCGCCCTCAAGGGAAAGGCCAAGATAACCGGAGACCTCGAACTGGAGCGACTAGTGGAACAGAACGAGGAGCG